GTAGAGTCGTCGTGTGAAGGTTGTTTGCGGGCAGGAGTGCTCCTGTTGGTCCTCGAAGGTTTCACAGGAGAGACATTGCGATCAAATGGGCGGAGACCAAACTGCTTGCGAGGCATGGATGCCACCGAGATTGGGGGAGGAGCTCCAATACTGGTGGCGAGTCCAGGCGTGGAAACTCAGGGCTGCTGGTCAGCAACTCCACAGTCCGTGAGGAGAGTGTGGAGCTTCTGCACCGTAGTCGTTGAGTAACGCTTGTGGGTGGCAGCGCACTTGCATCCGGAAGTGCAGCTGCCTTTGAGAGCCCAGGCCATACAGACGTCTTGACCACCGTGCTTGGGGATAGTGTACTGGCGGTTCTTGGTCATCTCGATGATGGAGCGGAAACCAGAGTCCTGGAAGCGCTTCAGGAGATCCTCATCACCGTGGACGTTGGTGACGGGGTGTGCTCCCGCTCGCTGTTGGTTTGCTCCGGCAGGCTTCTTGCTAGGCGGCTCGGGAGCGGGCTTGAAGAACGAATACCAGTGCGCATGGAGCTCAGCGAGACACGAGGCACGGGAAGACTGCACGAGTCGAGTGAGAGCTCCAAAGTTGGGGGCAGCAGCGCCCGGATTTAGGATAGCTTCGTTGACCCACAGGAAGTAATCTTGCTGGACGTCGAATAGGATGCGACCGCACAAGTCCACCGCCACACTTCGGTTGTCTGCATGTAGGCCATGGATGGAGTCGAGGTAGGATCCCAGCGAGAGGGCCACATCTCGTACGGAGTGCGAAACTGGATGGTTTCCTCCATGGAAGACGTCTATCATGATGGAGAAGCCGTAGAGTTTTTCTGCAGCGCTGCGAGCGTCGGTGGGAAACTTGACGTCGGTGGAAGTGATGGCGATGGCATCTTCCAGGGTGATGGAGGCACCTTTCTCAATGTACTCCGCTCGATTGGCTAGGTCCTGGACTGCCTTTGCCTCTGAATGGCCTTGGCACACAACAGAAAAGGGGGAGAGGCCCTCGCCCAGGGTGATCCTCGGACCGTTCATGAAGTACCTGCAGAAGACGCAATCCAGAATGTGTCCAGTGACTAGGGGCTTGTTGGCGAGGTTGATGGGTAGCGTTGAGGCCTGAGTGCATTCATCCAGTTGAGCTTGCTGGATCCCCTTAGGGGACTTCGCGAGCAGACGGTGCGTGAATGACTGGAAGGTGCGCATCATCGGCTACGTTGCAGAAGTTGTGGACGCGAGTGGCCAAGGCAGCCCCGAATTTGTCCGTGAAGGTCTTGTTGCTCTTTTCACGGTCGTGTTGAAGTTGTTGTTCGACAGTGGCTTCAAGAGTGTCACGTAGGTTCGTGATTCCCGCATTGAAGGTGGCATTCGTGAGACCAGGTCCCACAGCTCCCAAGGCATTCAAATAAGGAGAGGTCACGCGGTTCGTGCTACGTTGGAGAGCATTGGTGCTGATGGGGGCAGCCACGTTCGCAGCGACATTGCTGGTGGAGGAGTGCCATTCGCCATATTGGGGCAGCAGGCACGGAACCATGGGACAATCGGGGCGATGTTGGCTACTCGTGTGGCATCAGCGTGTCCGAGTTCTGGGGTGAGCACTTCAGCGCGAAATTGAGGAAGGCTGAACTGCCCTTCGGGTCTGGCAGTCAAAAGAGCTTCCGACAAGTAGGTAAGAAGAGGCATCACACGTCGGACACGGAACACATCGGTGTCAGGGACTGCACCACCGTGGGGACCGCTGTGGAGCACCGGGTTTGGAGCGTGAGAGAACATGGTGGAGCCGTCGATGACAGTCAAGTTGTGGCAGGTGACATCATTCATGCGTTCGAAGGCTGACATGGGGAGAACAACAGTGATGGCGCTTCGAAGGTCATTCCCAACCATGATGGTGTAGAGATTATTGTAGGGCGAGGCTTGACTCGGATTCACAGGATAGACGTAGAGCGAGTGACCAATGTAGATATTGTCTTGATCCCCTTGGAGAACAAAGGCGAAGGTGACAGGAGACCGAGCACAGAGTTGACTCATAGTGCGGGAGGAGACATCTCGATTCGCGGCGGAGGCACCGCCAATGGCCGTGAGGATGTCAGCATAATTTGGGGCATGGACCTCCCAGTGATCGACACGGGTGACGAGGTCGGAGAAATTGAAGCTAGGAGCGGCGGCCTTGGTGAGGGTCGAAAAGATACGAAACCTGATGCCGGCGCAAGAGATTAATCTAATCTAGGTTCTTGCTTTCAGCGTCGGCTGAATGAAGAATTGTGAGCTGAGAAAGAGACAACCTTCTTGCGATCGGCAGTTCAATGGCTGGTCTTGGCTAGGTCGCTGCATGGCTTTAGTGATTCATGGTTGCCGCTGTCGATCTTGCCAAATGTGGTCTTGGACGGACGTCGTTGCCTTAAGGGTAATCTTGTTCGAGAGGCATTGAGGAGCTGATGCGGTGCATCATCATGTGGGGTATCCAATTCCGGAACGCAGGTGATGACCTGCGAGATGTAGAGATGTACTTGAGTTGTAGGTGAGGAGCGTGGGAATTAATTTTGCAAATTGTAAGATGGTCCTCTCGGCAACCATGATTAGGGTCATAGTTGCGAGAACCCATCAGGGTTCGAGTTTCCACGCTGCGGGGCGTGGAAACTTGGACGGGGGGGGGTTCCCCAGGCGTGCTGCTGCTCGACACGTACCCTAGGGAATGGAGACGATCGGCTCAGTAAATGGTCGAGTTTCTCCATTCACCTAATCCTCTACTAGTCGTGTCTAGCTGCTCTGGGCGAGCGCAGCTTACCCTCATGGGTTCTCGCAACTATGACCCTAATCATGGTTGCCGAGACGAACCATCTCACAAATTGCAAGACCGTCTCACATTTTGCGAAATTAATTTCCACGCTCAGGACCTCATCTACAACACAAGTACATCTCTACATCTCGCAGGTCATCAACTGCGTTCCGGAATTGGATACCCCACATGATGATGCACCACATCAGCTTCTCAATGCCTCTCGAACAAGATCACCCTTAAGGCAACGGCGCCTGTCTAACACCACATTTGGCAGGGTTGGCTCAGTAAATGGCCAAGTTTCTCCACTCATCTAATCCTCTACTAGACGTGTCTAGCTGCTATGGGCGAGAGCAGCTTGTCTGCACTCGGCAACAACCACCCAACAACTTTGATACGAACTTGATTCCCAGTGCCCCAGTGCATTGACCCCTTGAATAAGCCTTTTACAATAATACTCTCGCCACCGCACATGCAACTTCCATTGCTTGAGTTGAAGCAACGACCCTACAGTCAACACTCAAGGATACACACAGGTTCTCCCACCAACCCACCTACCACCCCCCATGACTTCCCCAGGTCTACACACACCTTCACACTCAAACCCCAGGTCCTTACAGACATCCCCCACCACTCCCACACTTTACCCAACCAACCAACCACATCCATCATCCTCCGCAGATTACCCAACACCAATCCCCAGATGATCAGCCACCAGCTCCTAGAGCATGCAGCCATCTTGAGCATCACACCCTTCCGAATAACCCCATACCCCATTAGAGATGATGCGTTTGTCGCTCCTTACCCTTGAACACAGACATGCCTCTATTCTACAACATACCATCAACCATGCCTCCTCCCAACTTCTTCAATAACACTCCAACACCCACAGGACCTCCCCTCCTGCTCCTGGCACCATTTCACTTCCAGTGCCCCTTTGTCCTCCTTCCATTGACTCAACAACCCCTCGAACAGCTCACAACACTCCAGCAGCCACTGTGTTTCCCTCCTGGGAGCCACAGACTGCCAGTGTGTCACTTGACCCCATCTTTTGCCTGCTTATTGGTCTCTATCTAACAAGATTTGTGCATTGGATGGGTTATACCCTGCTCTGGTCCAGCCTGAGGAGTACCACCTCCTACGTGCTCTGCTGGCATCTTGCCTTGCATGACAAGGCAATGGCCACAGCCTGGAATCTGATCACCCAGACACACTTACTGGCGAGCACTCTTTGGCTTGGCAATCTCTCTGATCCTCACGGCCCCTTTGGTGATAATGGTTTCAATAACCGACAAAATTCTGTGTAAGCCCCTGTAACCCAGGTTTTGCGCTGCAGGTTCTCAACCAACATGCTCAACCCCTACCCAGGGCATCTGTCTACTTGGTGAAGGCTCCACGTTGGGCCTTTGGGTGAGGTCATGTTGATTGGGTAAACAAAGTAGATGACGACTCAGCTAGGTGGGAGATTCCCCATCCATTGCACGCGTCAATGAAGCCACCCCATGGCCAATAGCTTGTTAAGCTAAATGAGTAATTAACCCCACCCCCCTAGTCATCGGATCTGCCCTCCGTTGGCACGAGTGCAACTGATGAGGTCTGGACGAACGAAGGCAATTCGAACTGGCAGACTACTAGTAACAGCGATGAAGAGAAGAGGAGGAATACAATGTAATTAGCAATGCCGATTGGAGATTTGAGGACTACTCGCATTGCCATTACGAGGAGTAGTGGCAGAGTACCCAAAAGCAGAGCATTCTAAAAGCTAACGGCGGGAACGGCTGTCACTCGTCACTCGACTCGATTGTTGATTGAGTCATTTTTTGGCGGGAAGCGCCTTCGGCCTCTGATGAGATCTGTTCGTCGCTGATGAACAATGATGCCCGTTATTGCTACCGTAAAGCCTGCAATTCTCTACTCTGGCTAGCTAGCTAGTACCGGTAGTAGAGTAGAGATGTCGGCTGCTATGATTGTATGTCCAGTACCAGTACGGTAAGGGCAAGTCAAGAAAACAGTTCTTCCCTGTAGGTTTAGTTTTACTCAGCTGGGGCAATCAAGCTAGCTAGCACTAGAGGCCCACATTTAGAATGGAATTCAAAGGAACTGAAATAAATCGGAACACTCGTGCTAACTCAAATGATACGATTACTTGGACCGACCTGCTTCCACTTGAGTACAAACATACAAATGTACACCGTAGCGAAAGCGAAAGCGTACACGATGTGTTCTTCGGTCTATGGATCGGAATGAACTTTGATGGGTCCGATGAGCATTTCGGTGAGTTGTTGCAGTAAATCAGTGTCGTCTTTTCGTAGAGATTCCCGAACAAACTCGGTCATGCCAATATCTCCCTGAAGCTTCTCACGATCCTTCTTGATACCATCACGGATTTGCTTCAATGAATGAGACTCCGCTTTGATCTCATTTTCAATTTCACGCATTTTGTTGCAGAAAAAGTTGACGTGATCACGAAGAAGCTGTTGTCGCAGTTCTGGGTCATGCACTTGTTCATCGTTGTTGCCAGATATAGCATTCCACAGGTTCCGCCTTGGCTTGTTGCCTGGGACAGACATCATTGCCGGGCTCTCCACAATTCGAAGCACCAAATCGAAATCCTCATGCAACCTCGTCATTTGTTCTTTGTGATTATTCAACATTTGAAAGACAAACGAAACCCACGCTTCTTCCTTCTTCATATGGTTGTACTCGACTCTCTTTTTGTCGATCTCGTCTTCCTTCAGCTCTTTGAGCTTATCCATGATGTCGGAAAGCTTGGCTGCCGCCAATCTGGCCGACTCTGCATCTGCCTTTGCGTCGGCAAGTTCTACACGAAGCTCTTCGTTTTCTGCTGCCAGACCTTCTGCTTGCTCCAACTCTTCCGTCATTTGGGCTATTTGTACCTTCAGTGCTGGCAGCTCGATTGCAGAAGCGCTAGCTGATTTTCGAACGTCACTCTTTGCCGCCAGGACCTCTTTTTTGAGCGACTCAACTTCCTTTTCAAGGTCATGAACTCGTTTGGTATGGTCATCGGCGGCTTCAGGGCCCGTGAGGGGTGCCGTGGCAACCGAATGAACTGAAGCTTCATCATCTGACACAGCAAAGGAAACTGTTGTCGTGTTTTGGTCCATTAATCTCTTTACAGTCTCCTGCAATTCTTTAACTTGTTGCTTCATCAGCTGGTTTTCTCGTTGCAGCTTGGCGGCTTCCTCTGGCGAGATATTCTTGACCAGATTTCTGGTAGCTGAATTCTTGATGTTCCTGGCACTGGTAGCATATCGAAGTGTATTGATAGACTCGTCGATGTTGTAAGCGGCCGGGGAAACGCATGCTAACATGATCGTGCGACTGTTGCCTCCCAAGGAGTCCTGTAACAGCCGTGTAAGTTTGGAATCACGGAATGGTGGCTTTCGCTTCAGTTTCCCCCCCTTTCCCCTTTCAGACAGTGCAGACACCACTTGTCCAAGGATGAAGAGACCCTTATTGATGTTGATCCCTTCTTTGGCTCGTCCTCCCTGTGCTCCAGTTTTTTTAATGCGTTCAGATCCGGCTAAATCTACCAGAGTGAGTTTGGAGGAGAATTTGTCCGAGCCATCGGCCGATTCAACGACACCACTGATTTTGAGGGTGCAGATTGCATGGGAACGAGATGAAACGGCATTCATTGCTGTTGCTGCGACGACTCGTTTTTTGGCTGCCTCTTCCATAAGTTTGCCGATATCGATGGGCGAGAGGACAACCCGATCTTCTTGACCTGACACATAAACTCCTCCGTCCAATGTTTCTCGGATTTTGAGTGGCTTTTCCTCTTCAGCCAACAAGTCTCTAATCTCTTCGTTATAGATTTCCAAGTAGCTCAATTCCACCTTGGCATTTCCATCACATTTCTCCTTGATGCAGTCGAAAAGGTCGACACAACATCTCGGAATCATTCCATCATTTTCTGTTACTGTAACTCCATGAACAGCTGTCCCCATTGAAAAGGTCTTACCAGCCCCAGTCTTCAATCCATTCGTCAACACAGCATCACAGAACGCAAAAACACCAAAGTCAATTCAACCAATCAATGATTCTCTGCTTTTACAGTCTTCCTCCTCCGCGTCACCTACCTGGCCATACGCCAACACAGTGCAGTTGAAACCTTTGAAAATATTCTCCCGCACTGCATGTCTGGCTCCACATCTGATGTAGACTTCTTCTTGGGATGAATTCTTATCGAACACAGCATCCAGCTCAAACCATCGCTTTTGACCATCAGGAACCTTAACCTGGAGTAATTCGGGGTCAGTTGTAGGTTGGTATCCTGTATTTAGTGACTTCTCCAAACTGCTCATGGAAACAATGGCTTCCACAGACTTTCGCTCCAGCTCCGTCTTGGAGAGGGGACGAATCCGAGCCACAACTCGCACATTGGAGGATTCATCGTCGACGACCATACTGCAGCTGGTAGTACCGTATGGTAGAGTTACTTTCTTGGAACTGAGACAGTCTTCGTGTGCACTGCCAGAGCAGATTGAATCATTCGGTGCGCCAACGAAAGTGGGAAGAAGTGGGAAGAAGAGAAAAACAGCGACGAGTGATGGTCGCATGCCATGATTGCGTATCATTCAGAGTTGAGGGTCATCAGGCACACAGAGGCCAAAATAAGGCGGCTCAGCCGGAGGATCCGAAATCGCTTTCTTGAGTTCCGTTACTTTAGAATCGGTTCAATGTTGACAAATTATACAGTTTTACACTTGAATTTCGGTAATACGCTGTTGGTTCGGTTTTCTAACAAGTCCGATTTCGCCTTTTTCGTAGGGATAAAATTTGACCGCATTCAATTTTTCAGCAAGCACTCCGAAGAGCATGGTGTCTTGTTTTATAAAAGTGCAGGTACCGGTACTTGTGCGGTAGCCTACCACTACTTCAGCATACCGTACCGCGGTACCAGAACCCTCAGAGGTGCAGAGGTGCAATGTACTGTAGAGCGGCATGGGCTTTTCTGTTGTCCCTTTCTTTAATAGCTAGTATTTGACTTGTACCTACAGTAGCAGTTCGTGGTCGCTCCAACGTACGGTGGCGGGGGATTCATCAGTCAAAAGGCTTTGTCCTCCCCACATTCTTTATTCTCATTATCAACCCTGGCAACTTATGCACCCGGCTGATGGGTCATTCATCTCTGGCAAAGCACTCCCCTGGCTACGTAATGCAGGGTCCTTGTCAACGGTGTATTGTATTGCATTCACAGCTGGTTTAGTTCTCAAGTAGTACATGCCAGTCTAGCAGAGAGTAGCAGCAGCATGAGTGGAGCAAAGCGAGGGAATTTGAGTTCAATGCAAAAGGAGCGAAGGAACAACAGGTCACAGATGACAACACACCTTCAGCCCTTTCTTCCACGCATAAAAGTGCATGGCAGTCAACTTGTCAAGGGTGGGTTCTGCAAGAAACAAGTTGAGGCTTTGGCTTTGGTCAATGAACTTGCCCCGGTCAGCAGCCATATCAATAATGTCCTTCATCTTGATTTCCCAAACCGTTTTGTAAAGCTCTTTCAGTAGAGGGGAGATTGAAGGAATGTTTGCGACAGATCCGCCGTCTCTCATTAGCTGGTTTCGTACTGCGGGCGTCCACAAGCCCCGGTCAGTCAAGTCCTGCAATAGATGGGGGTTGGCCATAATGAATTCACCGGCCTTGACTCTTCTGATGTATAGATTGGAGCTAAAAGGTTCAAAGCATTCGTTCACTCCTAGAATTTGGGACGTCGAGGCCGTTGGCATCGGTGCCACAAACAAGGAGTTTCGAAGACCCCTCGAGATGATTCGTTGTTTCAACGCGTCCCAATTATATCCCTTCCCACGGCACGACTCTGGGTAAAGTTGCCGTGGAAACCCGTTCTTTGATGATTGAACGTCGCCACCGTCTTCCTTTCTGATCCTGGCATGCAAGTTGCTGGGTGTATCATAACTTTTCATATCCCACAGGTCAAATTGGAGCAAACCTTTGCTTGCTGGACTCCCAGCGAAAGAATGGTAGGGTCCATGTTTCTCTGCTTCCTCTGCGCTTGTTTCTAATGCGGCATGATAAATGGTTTCGAATATTGCCTGGTTGAGCTGCCTTGCTTCATTGGACGTAAAGGGCAAACCCAATCGAATGAAAGCATCTGCCAAACCTGACACTCCAATCCCTATTGGTCTGTGATTCTTATTGGACACTTCAGAGCCTTTCACCGGGTAGCTGTTGATGTCAATGATTTTGTTCAAATTGCGTGTTACTATCTTTGTGGCTCGGTGCAATGCCTCGTGGTCAAAGTAAGCGTTTCCCGAGCTTGGATCTATCGACCCAAATGGTCCTCGGTTTGACACGACAAACCTAGATAGACAACTGTCAGACGAAACAACAACAAAGGAATGGGGTCAACGCAACGACCAACCAACTAGCACGACATGTTGCGTCACGGTTGTACGTACAGACTTGCCAAATTGCAAACAGCCACTTCCTCCTTGTCTGTGTATTGAATGATTTCAGTGCATAGATTGGAGCTGGTAATGGTGCCCAAGTTGTTCTGGTTGCTTTTTCGGTTTGCTGCGTCTTTGTACAGCATATAGGGTGTACCAGTCTCGATCTGTGCTTCCAAGATGGCACTCCACAAATCTCTGGCACGAATTTGCCTGACATAGCGTCCTTCCGCCTCGTACTTCTGATACAAGTCTTCAAATGCATCTCCATAAACTTCTGCCAATCCCTTGCACAAGTGTGGACACATGAGACTCCATACCCCATCCTCTTCGACTCGTTTCATAAACAGATCGGGAATCCACAAAGCATAGAAGAGATCCCGCGCTCTTTGTTCTTCTTTTCCATGATTACGTTTCAGATTGAGTACGTCAAAAACATCGGCATGCCACGGTTCCAAGTAGATTGCAATTGCTCCTGGTCGCTTCCCGCCTCCCTGATCCACATATCGGGCCGTGACATCGTACACCCGCAGCATTGGCACGAGTCCATTGGATGTGCCTCGTGTTCCTTTGATTTCAGTTCCTCTGGCCCGAATGTTGTGGACGGACAGGCCAATTCCACCGGCAGCCTTTGAAATGACGGCGCATGTTTTGAGAGTATCATAGATTCCATGGATCGAGTCATCGGCCATTTGTACAAGAAAGCAAGAGCACAATTGTGGATGAGTGGTTCCAGAGTGGAATAGAGTGGGTGAAGCATGACTGATGAAACCTTGGCTGAGCAAGTCGTATGTTTCAAATGCAGCCTGGATCCGTTGGTCTTCTGACAAGTTATTATCCGTTGTATTGTTGACGGAACAGCAGTGTATTCCCAAAGCGACTCTCATGAATAGGTACTGCGGTGTTTCAACGGGCATTTCATCAGTTTTGTTTCTTAGCAAATACGACTTTTCCAAAGTCTTGAATCCGAAATAGGTCAACAACTCCCTGTCGCGTTCTGGTTTGACTCTGGCATTGATTTCCTCTTTTCGTCGTCTTACCAATCCCGCCAGATCTTGATGAATAAATCCATTTCCATTATCGTACAAGACTTCTACGGCTTGTGAAAATGTGGGTGGCGCAACTTTGTGGTTTTGATCAATCAAGATGCTGGCAGCTAGTCTTGCATAATCGGGATGTTGAGTAGACAAACTAGCGGCAGTTTCGGCGGATAAGGTGGCGACATCAGAGTACTTGACATTGGGATATGTTCCCTTTCGAATGGTTTCGGCCAATGCAGGTAGATCAAGGAATCTGTGATCGAGTCCATCCGATCTCGACTGAAGATACGAAAGAATCTGATCCATCCATTCACGCAAGTGTGAGCAAGATTGCACCAACCAATGATCTCTTCAGTACTCGTACATGTAGCTGCCTTGTTCTCACCTTTTTTTCGTCCAGAACTTCTTTGTTCCCTTGTCGATTGATCATGTACACGACACCGTCATCACTAATATCATCGTTCGGGTCGGAAAAGCTCAAGTTCAATCTACTGCCAATCAAGATGGAATTTGTGGGAGGCTTTAATGCCGATACTGGCACCAAAACTGGATCACAGAGCAATATCTTCAGGCACAGGCAAACAATCAACCAATACATCCTCAATTGCGTGTATCATGTATGTTGTGTGGTGATCGGGAGCGGATCTTTGGTATTTTTGGTATTTTGATTTTTGATTTTGATGGAGGCAAACACACAGCTCTCAACGCTGGCTTATTAATTGGGCTTTCAACCTCACAAAGGGCTCGAGCTAAACCACTGCAACCTGGAACCACCACCACACACGCAACTCGCGGATGCAAGAGGGAACAGACATCATACAGCATCACAGCTATCAGCCAGAAGAACGGAGGTCCTTCATTTCCACAGAAACATTTGTATGGAATGGTTGCAGCATGGCTTCAACAGCACAAAATGATGGTATAGACTCTTCGTCTGCCACCGGAACTGCGAATGATAGTACCAGTACCAGTACCAGTACAGTTTCAAAACGGAAGGAGGCAGCACCGCCCACAAGTTTGGAATGGTTTTCCTTAGGCTTGCTGGTATTTTTGACTTATGTACTAATGCCAATCCCCTTACACCCTGAAGGAGTACCCACTGCTCAGCATGTTTTCTATTATGGTTGGTTGACAGCAATTAGTACTGGATTTGGAGTAGTGCCGCTTTTGTTTGCACCTGATCTGGCGTCATATTGGGTCGGAATATCCAATGGTAGGTTATGCAAGACTTGGTGTCGGGCTTGTCGCACAATCCAATTGCTCCAGAGCCTCTCATCAGGAAGATACCGGACTTTTTTCTCCTCTATTTTGTTGCAAAGCCGTGGCAGCTGGAATGATGGTAGCAGCGAGTATATCGTTAGTTTGGGAAGGAGTCACCTTCACAGAACCCCACGATTACTCAGAACTATCCACCCACACGCGGACTGCCATCGGCGCTGGTTTGGGTGTTTGCTTCATCCTAGGGACCAAGGGAATTCTAGATAAATATGAAGACTTGAAAGTTGGTGGAATGGATGGTACAGATGCTAGAAAGGCTCTGCTCGTCTTTTTTGTCATGACTCTGCATTCTTTCTCGGAGGGAGTTGGTATTGGCGTCAGCTTTGGTGGCACCCATGGGAGTGACCTGGGCGTCTTCATTTCGGCAAGTTTGGCCGTACACAATGTTCCCGAGGGACTCGCAATTGCTGTGGTGTTGCTACCCAAAGGAACCTCCACTTTGACCGCGGCATTATGGGCCGTTGCAACCAGCATACCACAACCTCTCATGGCTGTGCCGGCATATCTGTTTGTGCATCATTTCATCCCGATTGTGCCAATTGGACTCGGGTTTGCAGGAGGAGCTATGGCCTGGGTAGCTGTGTTTGAACTGCTAGCAGAGGCCATCGAAGACACTGATATTGTCACAACAGGGAGCGTCGCGTCCCTTTCACTGGCAACAATGATGTACATTGTCGAGAAGATTGAGGCCAGTGCTAAAGTGTAGTCACACCCGATGACTATGGGAAACCTCTATTAAAATGCTACAATGTACAGTACAGGAGAATTGGCACAATAGAACACATGAGATACCGTACTCATCAAACAAGCAACAATCTCCTTCCTTGCAGAGATACCTTGGCGGCGACACGAAGCACTTGCTTTTGTCATCACAGCAAACTAGCAGGTTTGTTTTTGAAAGCCTAGCTAGGTACACGTAATGGATTATCAAAACAACGCAACCAATAACATGTATCTCCGGCACTCTGACAACTCTTGATTGCGAGCCTGTGGTGGGTTCGCAGAGGAAGAAAGATTGTCAGCCTCCGTACCCTTCATGGAGCGGCACCTCATAGTACGAGGCAAGTGTGCAGACCGATCGTCAACCAAGCAACACTGTACAGTACCGTAGCCCTACATACTCAGACATCCTGGCAAGTGGACTGGTAGGTTAACTGAAATTAAATAGTTTAGAAGTACTCTCAGGCCAATCCAAATTTGCAATCTTTTGTTTAAGATTGGAGTGTGACCAATCAACTGCCACCCGAGGCATTGAGCAACCAACTCTCCAATGCAGTGGCAGTTCTTGGAATGCTGCTTGGAAGCCTTGCTGACATGTTGCCACTGCTACCCGACCTGCCCGCTGCGGTTAATCTAGAAGGAGGATTAATGGACGTAGGTGATCCAAATGTCGCGTTGACGCTGCCTGTAACTTTGGCACCCATAAGATCCATACGCTGTCTCTCCAATGCATTGACTGGCATCGGATGATTTGCCAACTTGCCATCCCGTCCCCATATAGGTCCGCGGCCAAAATTGCCAAATGTGGCGTTTCTGGGGCCTGCCGCTGAATCTTCAGCGTGAGGCCGTCCAAACGATTTGAAACTCTTTAGACGGGTAGCAGTCTGCGCAACTCGTGCCTTTTTGGGCTCTGGCGGCGTCGAACTGGAACCTTTGATGGTTGGCAGCTCCATTGGATGATCCCATTGAACAGAACGCTGCTTCCTGATCCCACCCGAATCGGCATTCTTGCCAGCTGTTGTGCCTTGCAAAACGCTATTTAGTTTGAGTGCAGAATGTCGTGCCTTTGCCAACCGCGGAGAATTGGTGGCTTGCACCGTAGTCAACCTCAATGAACTACTGAATCCACCGGAAAGCGCACCAATGGGAGCAGCCGACGGCTTTTCGGCTTCGGCCTTTTTGGCTTTCAAATCTGCCGATGTGACATTTGCCACTGTCTTGAAAACTACTAGACGGGCCTTATCTGCCATGGATCCAAGAAGTGCTTTGGAGTCCAATCGAATGTCAACTTTTGAAAGTCCTTTCGGGCTCTCCGGTGCAAAATTACCTGGACAGTGTCGAAGAGACGTTCCGGTAGCATCACAAAGCACGTCATGAGCCAAAGATTAATATGTCACATTCCATCAACAATTCGAAACAAAATTACCTGAAACAGTTCCCGGTGCTCGAAGAGTAACTTGCTCGGACTTGTCACCGACGGAGATAGTGATCGCGACCTCAAAAATGAGGGGTAGAATTACGTCGGCCTCTTTCGATTGGCCTCCAGCACTGGGAGGCAACGGAAGAGTCTTAAACGTCGACATCGAAGAGGCGACCTTGATGGTAGCAGAGAGCATCTTTAGCAGATTCGTGCGACTTGCGCTGTCTCCCGACGATAAAGACTGTTTCAGCATGAGCAACGTCCAAGATCGCACCCGAGAATCCACAAGGGAGGAGAAGGAATCCGCGACATTCTTCAACAGTGCACTCGGCGCATTCTCGATCGTTGCCTTTGTCCAGGAGGAAGTGTTGCAGGTAGTCGTCTGTGTGGGCTTCTTCTCCACTACTTCCTTCGTTGCACCGTCCGTAGTCGCTTCTGCTCCAGAGCTAAGTACCGAGGCTTCCATGATGGGATGGAGACCACTTTGGTCCTTCATGCTTGCGGCTCTCTCTTTCTCACCCATGTGTTGTCCAACCTCGGGGAGAGGATTTTCACTGTTCTCTGTTACTTTCACGTCCAGGCAAGGCAAAGTACAAACAACCACATCATCACTCAACGAATCGCCCAAGCATCGTAGAAGGTCATTCTTGACCCACTCATTCATAGGCTGCGGCGGCAAGTCGCTTGCTTGGGAGACCATCAAAGAGGCAAACCGAGATACTATCGCCTCTTGCTCCATAGCCACATTCTGGTTGCTGTTGCTATTGGTATTATCCTCATCCATTGCGTCGCTTCGTGATGGCGGCAGGCCAAACTAAACCAAGGGTGTTACTTTGATGAGGAACTCTTCTGAAGCTGGGTACCATTGCCTGCTTCGCTACGCTGTTGCTTGGCTGCCGCTGCTCTTCCTACAGTGGCCGAACGGGAGGGAGTGAGGCTGGGTCATTGCACCCAAACGAAACCGGGATTAGCAGATATATGGGCGGTATTCTATGACTTCAAGAGTTAATGTACAAAGTGGCCAGGCTCTAGCTACTAGAGTGACTGATAAGGCTTGGGACACCAGTGGCCAAAGCAACCTGCTATTAGCTCTAGTCTACTTCGTGTGTATCTAACCATCAGAGACATCAGACGCCGCTGATGGGCTTGGATCTGATAACCAATAGACAACCGATAGAAACCTTAGTCGGAGAAGGGCTCAGCCCACAGCTTGTGAAACTGACTCGACTCAGATAGAGCTTTCGAATCAAAGCAAACCGCCCACACTGAAACCCCAGCTACCTGGTACCGGTACGTAACGATAGCTACATAACCATCTCGATTGCTGGCGCATGCAGGCTAGAGTTACCACAATCTATCTTGTGACTAGAACCAGCCTGGAATTGATTCCAAAATATCTGCAAAGGCATCAACCTCGATCCTCAAGTTGTAGTGAAGTAGGGAGACACGTACAACACCCTCGGGCACCGAGACGCCAAAATCTTCCAGTAGCTGTAGATTGGACAGAAAAGTTCCATGCCGACAAATAAGACCATTCTTGGAACAACACTCAACAATTGTGCTTGACTTGACTGTTTCGTGCACAAAACTAATCACTGGAAGCCTGGCGACACAGAATAGCTCGGACTCCGGGATCTCAATAATGCGGACCTTGTCAGACTTTCGCAAAACAGTCAAAAGACAATCCACTAGCCACTCTTCAACCCTTCTGATTCTTTGGTATGCTATCATGACTTGATCTTGCGTAGGGCTTTCCGCATCTGAGACTAGAGGGCACCAATACGATTCCTGCCGAGGAGTCTGGCATGAAGTCTGCTCATCCCTCCAAATAGCACCGTCTGAACCTTGGCTTAGCTGCAACATACCCAGCTCTCTGATGTACATTCCTAGACCGACGATCCCGGAACATCCCTCATAGTTGATTGTTCCGACCTCCAGGAGTTTGTATGGCAAACTCTCGATGGAGTGGTGATTCGTCATCGATGCAGTGACCAATTGATCCACAGAAGCCTTCCGCCCCAACAAAGCTCCAATGTGAGGACCAAACAGTTTGTGGCACGAAACCACATACCAATCAACGCCAAGGCTGGAGACATTTGGATAAATGTGCGGCGCCGCAGCAACAGCGTCGACCACCAACAGGGCGTAGCCTTTCGTGGCGGAGTCCGCCATGGTTCGAATGGATCTTACATCTCGCAGTTGGCCCAAAATGTTTGATGCGTGAGAGATCGCAATGATACGCGTCTTCTTTGTTAGGATGTCAGACAGAAAGGGCGAAGCAGATTCATCCTGTTTTGTCTCTTCGCCGAATCGAGTGGGCGCCCACCACTTGATCGTTGCACCCACCATTTCTGCAGCCGCTATCCATGGGTTAACGTTTGCCAAATGATTTTCGGTACTCAGAACAATCTCGTCACCGTTCTTGATCATCCCAGAACTCGCATATTGATTGGCTAGACTGAGGAGCAAGGTTGACGCGTTTGGTCCAAGGAAGACAAAGTAGTCATCAGGGGCGGCACCTAGCAACGTTCCAAGGACGTTTCGTGCCCGTTCTTTCGTCATTGCGCCCTCAACGGAACGATTTCTGTGTCCCAAGGCACCAGTCATTTGCCGAATTACATGGAAAGGTACCTGAGCCCCACCAGCGTTCTCCCAAAATATTTTAGGAGGAACGCGGCTAGCGGCCTCGCTACTTGTCGCTTCTGCAGCAATGCCAGGAAAGTCAGAAAAATAGGGGAACAGGTTTCGGGTTCGAGCAGCTATGAAATCAGGTGAATGGCTCTCCGTCGGATCTTGAGAGTTGACATACCTTGATGATAAGGCACTCGCCTTTTCTGTTGTCGTGTGCCTGCTTTCTTGCTTTGTAGTTCTCCGTTCCAGCATTCCCCACCGAATCTTGTTGATGATTGCGGCCTTTGATGGGAGAATGGGTTCGTCGTTTTCCGTGTTGTCGCCTTCCGAGGGGACTGTGTGCGCCAACCTCCAGCCTCCAGGTGTTTCCGCGTACACTCCATCGGTTACTTTTGGAAGTACCCATAGGGTCATAATATCGCGGATAACATCATCGTGCAAGTCTTCAGCATGCTTGAGGCCTGTGGCTGTGTCTTGTGCCGGGGGCGCATTGACTTCCAAGAGATAGGCAACCGGTTCTCGTTCGTTGGTGCTGTCGGATTGCTTGTAGGAAAGGATGAAATCCATGCCTAAGTATTCGAATCCATTGTTTCCCTGTCCTCCCGCCAAAAAGGGCCAAGCACGTTGAGTGAGAGCCGCCAGGGAGGCTTTCATGGACGGGAAGAAAGGCCCCAAGGGGTAAATTGGCTGTTCTGTCTCCTTGTCAACGGCCATATCGGTGGCTTCCAGGTCAGCCAAGATTTCTCCAGCAAATGCGGTCTGATCGTGCGAATTAGCACAGCAGTTGGAAATATGAACGGTTCCTCTGAAAACCTTTTCAGCTGGTAAACAGTTGTCGTCTGGTATTTTTGAATGATCCTCATTCTCCTCCTTATTTGGGTCTTCCTTTAGCTGAAACTTGTCATTGGCAACGTGCAAGAAGGCTCGCTTGTGCACAAATGCTCTGCCATCCGATGTCAATAGCCCATACACTCGGACGTGCATTTTCTTGCCTCCATACAACACCGGAGGCCAAGTGTATCTTTGGGCCACATATTGATGATTTTGGTACAAAGGGCCACTGGCATTGGGAGTTTTATTGAGAGCATTGGAAGTCGAGCTGTCGACAACCCAGATTCCTCCCGCGCCATTGCTGAAGGCGTCTTTAACCACCCACAAACTGGAGGGACTCGGTGGCACCGTCGATGGACACGCTCCATTGTTAATCAACAAATCAGGAAAAATTCCAGGTTCGTCGCTTTCTTCTGAGAGCCCGTCTTCCTTCTCGGTGAAGACCCGTTGGCAAAAACTGGCATATCCATCGGGTCCTTTGAAGCAGTGGGATTCCAGTGTCGCCAAAAAGCTGAAGGCGTTGTCATTTTTGTCGATTGATGTTTCTGCATCTTCATTGAGGAGACGGGCTAAAACCCATTTACTATCCAGGCACGCTGAACCATTGGGTAGATGAGAATACGCCTTAAGAATATCTCGGTAAGGCCTGGTTGCTTTCCTAGGACCATTCTCCCAAACGAAATCTGGAACCAAAGTTTCTTCATTGCCCGATGGCGTTTCCTTAGTTGGACTGCAGTCTTCCCAGTCAGATGGCAACAACGGTACCAATCGAGTGTGTGCGGCACTACCCGAGACTGAGTACCTATATTTTGCTTTTTCCATACTGTACTACCGGTAGCTAGATGTAAAACATACCAAAGTCAACAAAAAATAATGACAGCGCTCGACGGTGGTTGGTGGTGGAGCCCAAAAAAGATACATGAGCAGGTCACCCGCCACCCACCGGTATTTGGTTGGGTGGGCGTGGTACATGTATTACCGGTACCGGTACCGGTATGGTTGCCTACCGGTACGAGGCTGCAGGATGCGGTCATTGGCCGTTTGGGAACCCGGAAAATCCTCAGGGCATGCAAATTGTGTAGTCCACCTCTTGGGCAAAGTCAACCCAGAACAGCATTTCTATGGCAAGGCAACCCTTTTAGTGCAGTCAAGGACCTTTGGGACCATCACTTGATGGCCTTTGCAAATTGAGAGCAATTAGAAGTCTTGAAAGCCTCGAGAGAAACTTCAGCCAGACCTCATCAACTCATGCAATGAAATAATATTTGGTGCCTCCAGGCACAAGGTCAAGTTTCACAAGTACAATAAAAAACATAGTAGCCGAGTCAGAGTCAGAGAGAAAGAGTCGAGCTCACTCTTTGCTGAACTCGTACGATCACAGCACCGCTGGCTCGGCTGGTACGGATAGTCATGCTAGCTACGGTAGCAACTTGATGGGTTTGAGAACAAAATATAACCAACTTGCAGCTGCTAAACCATTATGATACTACTGGACATTAAAGGTATCCATATTCAGTTGCGAAGCAGCTTCAACTTGTGAAACCGTCAAAATTCTCATGCTGCACAGATCCTTGAGCTCTTCTGCTGTCCTACAATAAGTAAGCCCGCGGTCGTATAACTCAACAACCTCTCGAGCTGAATCCAGAGTCACGGCAGTTCCCAGCTTCAGTTGACCTAGCTGCACGTATGCAGCATGAAACATAGGGTCTTGCTCGATCGCTTTCTCCAAAAGACGAATAACTTCATCTGTATCTGGTCGTTCGCCCGGAGGAGGTGGGATATTCAAAATTGTCAGGGCTGCATTTACATAAGGTGTTGGGTTGTTGGGGGCTAGTTCCATGGCAAGCTTGAACGACGCTTGAGCATCCTCGAGCTCTCCTTTCGTGAAGGCAATTTCCCCAATGTAAGACTGGACTTCTGACGACTTCGGATCCAGTTTTTTGGCAGATTCTAGATGTTGCTTGGCCCCCGAGACGTCGTTCATGGCGGTAAGGATTGATGCCAGACGCAGTCTCGCCAAAACGTGGTCGGGACGCAACTCAATGCATTTGTTGAGGTCTGCCTTTGCTTCTTCTGGCTCTTGTTTGAGCATTCTCAAGTTGGCTCTACAAAAATCAGCGAACGACTCTCAGCAACAAACAAAAACCATGACTCCCAAAATGAATACCCGCACAACAACCAAGGACCTACCTGTGAAGAAGGGCGTCTGCTGCACCTGGGTCGATCTTCAGTGCTGATTCGAATAGGACAAGCGCTTTGTCAAAGTTGGCCCCGTCCATTTCCACACAGGCTTGCTTCACCAGGATTTGAGCCTGAAGATTCATCCGTCGAAACACAGGTCAGACCCAGGGTTTCGTACGGTATAAACACGTGCCATACTTACGTTGAGTGGTTCCAAGTCGGCACACATGGAGAAGCACTTCTTTGCACCATCTAGATCGTAGATCCAGTGACGGACCATCCCCGTCCACTCCAGAATTCGCGAATAGTCGTCGTCTGGAAGGACTTTCTGTACTTCGGGGTTGGTTTCTGCAAGTCTGAAGGCTTCTTCAAATGACGACATGGATTCCTTGTAGTTTCCTTCGTAGACCTGTCGTTGACCAATTTTCAGTAGCAGGCTCGCACGCTTGGCTTTGGTTTCATCCGTAGCAGAGTCGTCAACTTCTGGGAGTTCTGCCCGCAACTGTGAGAGTCCTCCCCTACTGGCTACTTTTGCCATCCATGAATTATAGCCCGAGTAGCTCTTGAGCAACTGGAGGATGGTGTAGTTCGAAGGGAGCTGTCGACTGGAAATAGGCGCGGTTTTGATTTCTTTCAACTTGTTTTCAACTTCGTCGGGAACCAATTTCATGAGCAATTCCTCTAGCTTCGATTGACTCAATGGTGGTGGAGGTGTTGGTATCCCAAAACGGAGTTTATCCCTGTGCTCTTGCATGAATAGCAATTGGATTGCACAAGCCTCCACTAAAGCGGACGCAATGTTTTCTTGGCTTTCGAGAATTCGGAGCTTCCGAGTCCTTGCCTTTGTGTGTTGTTTTTCCAGAGCCAGAATATTGTCACAGTCATCCAAGGCTAACTCTTTGAAACCTCCCTTTTCGTACATGGCTGAGCGGTTATTCATGAGTGTCTGCATTTGTCGGAAAAGTGGAGACGATGCATCTTTGACGCCACTGCCTCGTGAATCAATAATATCCAATGCCTCTGTAAATTTTTGTGCTGCATCAAAAAACTGCAACAAGAAATCAATGATTGATCACAAAACAAGCACATGTCAGAAGAAATCCATTATCACATGCTTGGTCCATCCCAGGCAATCGACGATACACTCAAAAGCTCAAAGGTCAGAACATACTGAGTCTCGGTAGCAGACCAGACAACATACCTTCTTCTCCTTGAATAGTTTCTTGCCTTGTTTATCTAACTCTTCAATTTGTGCCTGTATTTCCTTGTCATTTTGTGGACTCTTCTTGGTGCTGGAGGTATTGGACACAACTGGTGTAGCAGTCTCTAAAATATCTTTCTTGGTTCGCTCAGGAGATCCGGCTCGGCCTTTCGGAGGTGGCTTGGGAGTCTCCACGGTTCGATTTCGGGTCACCAAGTATCCAATTATTACTGCTGTTGCTGCCAGCGCAACACCCACATAGACAGTTTGGTTTTGCTGCGACGACGGTGCCATGGTCGAGTGGAAGTCTCCTTGGTGAGGCGGTGGGTTTGGATGGGTGGTAATCACTGGTAATATGACTTTGTGACCACGAACTTGCATCACAGCTCGATCAGAGCAGCTATCAGACCTCCCTCCACGATCTTCATCGTTCTCATCGGTAAGTGTAAGTACCGTACCAGGTACGGTAGGGCCAGGGTTTAATCGAATGATTCGATTCGATTCAATCGAATGTGGATCATGAATCGAATCTTCAATCAACGTACTAGCTAGTAATCTAGCTAGCTAGCTAGTACACTCACTACCCACGCCGAGGATGAGTCGAGTCAAATAAATAATGCAGTGGTGGTACCGGTACTGTACCAGTACCAGTACCGGTACATATAACGGTGGCTTGTTTGTTTCGAATTTCGTAGGGGCAAGGCCCAAACCACAACGGAGAGGGATGGTGGAGTGGAGTCTCGAGTCTCCCCATTACAGGCACCTGAGCTTGGTTGCCACAAACGGCCCACACGACCAGCCACTTGAGATACTCCTTCGACCCACTGCTATGACAAAAGATCCCGAGAGCCTAAATGACATCCTACAGAACTCCAGTGTACTAGAAAAAAAGGAGGGGAGTTACCTGTTTTAGGAAACCAAACAAAGTCTCCCATCGCCTTCTTATTCCCCGCCCCCTGCCTGCTTAAAAAAGGAGGAGAGTTCATGTTTACCCCGGCAGTGTTGCCACTATCAGGCACTAATCTCTCCCCCCAAAGTTGTTGGCCTAGCCAACATATAGACTCCGGTCGATCAGAGGAGGGATGGCCCTGATCTCAGTTCCCAGCTCTTGCTCTACTCGTCTTAGGGAATGTCTGTCTTCGTGGGTTATCAAGTTCACCGCAAGACCCAAATGCCCAAAGCGCCCCGATCGACCAATGCGGTGCAAATAAGTCTCGCTATTTTTGGGGAAATCAAAGTTGATGACCACATTCACTGATTGGATATCAATTCCACGAGTAAACAGGTCTGTAGCACATAATATGTACCATGGGGACAAGGTATGGGTGGTTAGCTGCACTGACAAAACTGAAATTGGTAAGCCAACCATGGTTAGCAAAAACATGCTTACCAGATGTGACAAGGTGCCTTGTTGCCCCATTCCGAAATTCATGGAATACGCGGTTTCGATTTGCTTGCTGCATTTTGGCATGAATGTAGTAGCACGAGTAGCCCAACTCGGTAATCTTCTTTGCCAGCAATTCTACTCGGTTGACCGAGTTACAAAAGATAATGCTTTGGTTGATCTCCAGCTTTGAGAACAATGTGTTAAGACAATGCACCTTCTGCCTCTCTTCAACATAGGCATAGAACTGGGTGATACCTCTGAGAGTCAATTCATCCATCAGATTGATACTGTAGGGGTTGTGGACAAATTTTTGGCAGAATGTTTTGACCGTGACTGGGAACGTGGCACTGAACAAGCAAATCTGGTGCTCTTCGTTACACAGGCCAATGATTTGTTCCAACACTGGTTGGAATTCGGGTGAGAGAAGCTTGTCTGCTTCATCCATAATGATGGTTTTGCATTGGCTCAAATCAGCCACTTTCTTGGACGCCAAATCTAAGATGCGTCCAGGCGTTGCCACAATGATGTGCACAGGGTTGTATAAACGCATGATATCATCTTTAAGGGAGGTGCCACCAGTTGTAACCATGCACTGAACACCCATGTGCTTTCCAATCTCTTTGACGATAGCAGATGTTTGCAAGGCGAGTTCTCTTGTTGGGATTAGGATGAGCACTGTACATCGTATATGTGAATTGCATAGCCATATGAAAAATGAAATTGATCAACCGAGAAACAAAGATCAGTCTTCGACAGCTCCAATACTTGTGACAACCTATTTTCGGATTCTGTGCGGAAGGCGGGGGCCACAGACTTACCCTGGATAGTCTTGAGTGTGGTATCTGTCTTTTCCAAACAAGGGATGATATAAGCTGCTGTCTTTCCTGTTCCATTCTTGGCCCTGGCCAGTACATTGCGGTTTTGTAAGATAATAGGCACTGCTTCTTCTTGGATTGGGCTGGGTTTTTCGAACCCCTTTTCAAAGATACCCATCAACAACTCTCGTTTGAGGAAGAAATCTTCAAAGTCACGACCCTTTGTGTCTGTGACATCTTCTGTTTTATATCGACTGTCCTTGGCTGGTGCTGTGAGCCCATCTCTGTATGTACCTGTGCCAGTAACAACGTTGCTCGGCTGCTTCTCTATCGAAGCCATCTTAGCTGAAGTCCTGTTCTGTAAACTTCGGTGGTCGTTTGTTCGTCTAGTGCTACGTAAGGAAACGAGGATTGTGATTCAAACTGTCTTGATGTAGTACTGTGAGTTGAGGAGGGAGGGTTGTCGAGCTCTTCGTTTATTGCTGAAGAAGATTGATAGTAACGAGCAAACTAAAGATTTGTCGTGATCATGACCACCAATTCTAGTTTGGGGGATACCCCAAGGATGTCCGATAGTAAATTAGTAATACCGCACTTCGACCCTCCCCCTTTTCCACCAATGGCGTGTGGACTTCCCCTGTGTTTTACGAATAAACAATAAAAATAAAATTAGTAAGAATGAGCTTGAATTACTGCATTTCGAGCTTGGTGGCGACTAGCTAGTCAGGTTTCTTTTTCCTTACTAGCTATTAATAGCTGGTCAGGATTCTTCTTCACCTTACCAAGCTAGCCAGCTATCATAGTCAGGGTAGCTATCATAGTCAGGGTAGCTATCATAGTCAGGGTATGAGTGGTACTGGTACCTGGTAGCTCTAGCTAGTAGCTACTGAGAAGTTTAATTGATGGTGCAAGTTCGTGCACTCGAGCTGTGGTATCTCCGTTCAAGCCCATGACATTGTGTGCGCACATCCCACAAGCAAATGATACAAGCATGTAAACCCCCGACAACAGTACCGGTAGCTAGATTGCTTGCTCTAGCAAGCTACATGTAAAAAACAAAAGTCGCGACCAGTCGCTACGGTAAGCTTAGGCGTGTCGCAAACAAAAGTACACCTACACACACTACGTTGATTAACCGAACTGAAGCGCGCCAATTGACATGGCCCCAGCGGCCCTACCAAAACAACGAAATGGCATCATTTCTTTCCATTACGCAGCTGCTGCTTTCTTGGCGGCTTCTGCGCGCTCCAGCAGTACTCGCTTGTAATCGTGAGGGAAGACCTTTGTGAACTGCCCAACGCGTGTGTCCCAGTTGTCAAGCATTTCTTGGCCGACGGCACTTCCTGTCATGGCAACATGCTCCTGGATGTACTCATAGACCTCTTGCTGCTCTTCGGGGGTGTCCATGGTTTCAAGGCCAACCAACCCCATGTTGCATCGCTTAGGGAATTCGCCATCAGGATCGTAGACATAGGCAATGCCGCCGCTCATACCAGCTGCAAAGTTACGGCCGGTGGGTCCGAGGCACACCATGGTGCCACCAGTCATGTACTCACAGCCGTGGTCGCCGACTCCCTCCACAACGGCAAGGGCGCCAGAGTTTCGAACACAAAAACGTTCCCCGGCCTTTCCACGGAAGAATGCCTTTCCGCCAGTTGCTCCGTAAAGACAAACGTTGCCCACGACAACATGCTCTTCGGCCTTGAAACCTTGCGCCACAACATCTTCAGAGGGGAACACAGCGATCTTTCCGCCAGAAAGACCCTTGCCAGTGTAGTCGTTGGCATCTCCTTCAACAGTCAAGGTGATACCTTTGGCAAGCGTGAAACCCATCGACTGGCCTCCATGACCGTGGAGCTTCAGGTGGATCGTATCGTCTGGAAGACCTTCGCCGCCAAAACGACTTGACACTTCGTATGACAGCATCGTTCCAAGCGTGCGGTCGAGGTTGTTGGTCTCGTCTTCAATAACAATAGGCTGCTTCGACTCCAAGGCTGCCTTGGCCTTCTCGATGAAGCTGTTGTCCTTCTTCAAAGCCAGCCCATGGTCCTGGGTTGTGCGGTTCATGATTCCAGCCGAGGGGTTAAGCTCCGAAGCAGGCGTCAACAGAGGGCTCAAGTCGAGTCCTCGGCTCTTGTAATGCAAACCACGTTTGTTCGCTTCCAGGTGCTGTGTCTGACCAATCATCTCCTCCATTGTTCGATACCCAAGCTTCGCCATGATTTCCCGAACTTCCTCGGCAAGGAAGAAGAAGTAGTTCACAACGTGCTCGGGTTGTCCCGAGAACTTGCGCCGAAGCTCCTCGTCTTGCGTAGCAATGCCAACAGGGCATGTGTTCAAGTGGCACTTGCGCATCATGATGCATCCCATGGCAATGAGGGGTGCGGTAGCAAAACCAAACTCTTCAGCGCCAAGAAGTGCGGCGATTGCAACATCACGTCCCGTCTTCAACTGCCCATCTGCCTGCAGCTTGATTCTGTCGCGAAGACCATTGAGAACCAAGGTCTGCTGAGTTTCCGCGAGACCGAGCTCCCAAGGAAGACCGGCTCCTTTCACTCCAGTCCATGCAGCGGCACCTGTTCCGCCGTCGTGTCCACTAATGGTGATATGATCAGAAAGTGCCTTCATCATTCACAAGAAACACATTATGACTGGTCAGCAGAACCCAACTACGATGCGGCACTCTTGCGGCGTTGACTGAAACATACCTTGGCAACACCAGCTGCGACGACACCAACACCGACTTCAGAAACAAGCTTGACCGACACTTCGCCATTTGGCTGAGCATTCTTCAAATCATGGATGAGCTGAGCAAGATCCTCAATGGAATAAATGTCGTGATGGGGAGGAGGTGAAATCAAACCAACTCCAGGGGTGGTGTGACGGTTTGCTGCGATGTATTCCGACACTTTGAAGCCTGGAAGTTCACCTCCTTCTCCAGGCTTAGCACCTTGAGCCATCTTGATTTGAATCTGGTCGCTGTTTGCAAGATAATGCGATGTCACTCCGAATCGGCCGGATGCTACCTGCTTGATACTCGAGCGACGGTTATCCAAGAAGCGAAGCGGATCTTCTCCTCCTTCACCGGTGTTCGACCTTCCGCCCAAGTGATTCATTGCCTTGGCCAATGTTTCGTGAGCTTCTTGACTGATGGAACCAAGAGACATGGCGCCAGTTGCGAATCGCTTGACAATCTCAGCGACAGGTTCGACTTCGTCCAATGGCACGGCGTTGCTCGGGTTAAACTTGAACTTTAGCTGGCCTCGCAAAGTAACCTTCTTGTTTTGCTCGTTAGTAATACGGGCGAACTCTTTGTACGCTTCCTTGGCGTTGGTGCGTGCTGCAATTTGCAGGTTCACCATTCCTGCAGGAGTGTTGAGATGGGCTTCTCCGCCATCACGGTAATGGAATTGGCCGTCGCTCCTTACAAGGTTGGTCTCTTCGAGCTCGTGAGGCGGGTAGGCAGTATCGTGGAAACGCTCAAGGTCACGATAGATTGCTTCGAAGTCAGTTCCTTGGATACGTGTGGTGGTGCCAGTAAAGCAGCGATCGACAACTTCATCGGCAAGACCAACAGCCTCAAAGATCTGGGCGGCCTTGTAGCTCTGCAGAGTCGAGATACCCATCTTGCTCATAACCTTTAGAAGTCCTTTAGCAGCGGCCTTCCTGTAATTGGCCATGGCCTCGTCGTCAGTGAATTCGCGCTTGGTCCTAGCTTCCATCATACCTTCAGCATTCATCTTGCACAAAGCTTCGTACGCCATGTATGGGCAAACCCCATCACAGCCAAATCCAAAGATGGTTGCAAAGTCATGCACCTCCTTCGCATCGCCCACTTCCGCAAAGATGGCGGCCTTGGGTCGCTGCTTGGTCTTCAACAAATGCTGATGAACTGCGCCAACGGCGAGCAATGAAGGGAGAGGAATCCTGTCAGGCCCAGCAAAGCGATCAGACAAAATGACACCCTCAACGCCCTTCTCTCCAATGTTATCTTGAATGGCGTCCGCGCACTCGTCACAAATTCTCTCGAGAGCCTATTGTTACAAAAAACAAACGTGAGCAACGGGACCTTTCCTCAACCAAAACAAACTTGAACAAGCAAGCAGGCTACAGCCAGGACCACTTACCTGGATCATTCCATCGGGGCCACTACCCGCTGGGAAAGTAACGTCGATAATCGCTGTCTTGAATCCGGATCCGTCGCCGCTCGCATATTGATCGTTCTTGAGAGTTTCCATTTCGTCTAGAGTAAGGACAGGATGGCGCACTACCAAACGTCTGCAATGATCAGGAGAAGGATCTTGCAGGAGGTTGCCTTCAGGACCAACTGGGCACACAAGACTCATCACAATTTCTTCACGGATAGGATCAATTGGGGGGTTTGTCACTTGAGCGAAAAGTTGCTTGAAGTAGTCATTCACTTGCCGGGGATGTTCGGACAAAACAGCAAGAGCCGCATCGTTTCCCATGCTTCCAAGTGGTTCCTTTCCACCCACTGCCATCGGCATCAATAGCATGTCCAACTTTTCACTGCTGAAGCCGAACATGTTGAGTTTTCGGTTGGTCTGGGAGAAGTCCATCGGTTGGCGTGTGATGCCCTTTTGTGCTGTCCATTTTTCGAGATCAATCATACCCTTTTCAACCCATTCTCCATAAGGGTGCATTGAAGAGACTTGTTCCTTGATCTCGTCGTCGGGAACGACACGTTCTGTTTCAAAGTCGACAAGGAACATCTTTCCAGGTTCCAGCCTGTGCTTGACCTTGACCTCAGAATCCGGGAGGTCTGGGCAAACTCCAATTTCCGAGGACAACACAACATGGTCGTCCTTTGTCACATAGTAGCGGGAAGGACGGAGTCCATTGCGATCCAGGGTGGCACCAATGTACCTTCCATCAGTGAAGGCAACCATGGCAGGCCCATCCCAAGGTTCCATGACGCAAGAGTTGTATTCGTAGAAAGCTTTCTTTGTGTCTGACAAGTTGTAGTTGTCTTGCCAGGCTTCGGGGATCATCATCATGACTGCCTCGGGAAGCGATCTGTTGGATGCCTTGGTGAGCAACTCAAGGACCGAGTCAAAATTTCCCGAGTCACTCATATTATCAGAAGTGGCGGGGAGGAGATGGTTGGTGTCGTCGCCATAGATTGGCGATTCCATGATTCCTCCACGGCTGTACATCCAGTTCTTGTTACCAGTGAGAGTGTTGATTTCTCCGTTATGGCACATCATACGAATGGGTTGTGCACGTTCCCAGGATGGGAAAGTGTTGGTCGAAAATCGCGAGTGGACCAATGCCAAGTGGGAGATAAACAGAGGATCCTTCAAGTCCAAGTAGTACTGTGAGACTTGCTCAGGTGTCAACTGTCCCTTGTAAGTGATGTGACTTCCAGCAAGGGAGTTAATGTAGAAACCACTTTCGGGTCCGAGCATGCCTGCAACTTCGTCTTCAGCCATTTTTCGAACCCTCAGTAGCTCCTGTTCAAAAGCTTTTTGTGGAATACCCTTGGAGTTGACAACAAAGATTTGTTCCGTAATTGGCTCTGAGTCTAGAGGATCTCGTCCCAGCATGGAATTATCGACTGGCACAGGTCTCCATCCGATCGTAGTGAGCGAGCGTTCTTTAACAAGCCGTTCCAAAATTCCCTTACAGTCGATCAGCTTATCATCCTTGTCACTACCAGGAGGGAAAAATACGTTTGCAACTGCGAACTTTCCCGATTCAGGCAATTCGACACCGAAAAGTTCCTTGGCTTGATGTCTCATGAAAGAGTCCGGCATTCCAAAGAGCATTCCTATGCAATTGAAATAGGGGTAGAATTGAGAAGAGTGGTCTGATTCAATCAATCATGCCCTCTTGCAGAATCCATCCTAAAAAGAAAATTTTGCTTGTTCATTTACTCACCTGCTCCATCTCCAGATGCAGGATCACACCCACAACCTCCTCGGTGAGACATTCGAACCAACATTTCATCGGCCACATCAACTACATGCCTGGAAGGCACTGACTTGAGCGAGGCAATTAAGCCTACACCACAATTTTCCTTTTCATTTTTGGGATCATAAAGAACCTTGGGCTGTTTGTCAGCACTGAGTCCACTGCGTAGTTCGAGAACCCTCTCGGTAGAATACCAAAGAGAGGGCCTTCCTGCAATCAAATTCGAAGAAACCGACGTGGGACGAGCCAAAGGAGAACGGGACAAGGCATAGGTAGCGCTACTAGAAACTCGACGAGCTCCGCGCCTAGCAGCCAATCTAGACACCGAAGTAATCATCTTGGGGTTGGTCTTGGAACTCAGATAATGTGAAGAAAGGTACACAGTCGAAAGAACAAATGGCTATTGTTTGGATTTTTGGTATTTTCTTGGTCGGAAGAAGAACAGCCGCACAATTGGACGGCACTTGCACAGATGAGAACTGGCTTGGTGAAGATACAGTGCCCATTCTCTAATCTTAACCTTACCACCGAGCGTAGGGAGTGAATTTGAAGTGAATTGTCCTTTACTCATGCTCAAAAACAGACTTACACCCAGGGAATGGACAATTGAACCTGAATCCGTATTACCAGCTCTCCTGGTGGCTAGGACCCCTTCTCTCTACGGTACTGCAACCCCACAGTCGCACACTACAGTATTAATAGCTGGCTAGCAGTACTGTGGAGCGAAAGATCTTTTGTGTGGCTGTGGACTTGCCACGAAAGTGCAAACCGTTCAAGTGCAGAGGCTGAGGCAGTTGCTACTACAAAAAAACAGTCAATAAGTTCAAAAGGTGTTGTACGGTACCGGTACTACTAGTGGCTAGCTAGCTAGAAGTTCTGCACGAAACCTGTTATGTTGACCTCTCTAGACTACTCTAGCTAGCTAGCTAGAGATAGCTAGCTAGCTAGAGATAGCGAGCTATCTAAGCTAGCTACTGTAACTATGAACCGTCCCAGCGCTGGGATAAGATACGGTAGCTGTTAGAAGGAGACAACCTGTCCTACAAGAACCGAAGAGCTCACAATTTATTCCAGCGGAGCTCATAGCCAGTCAAGACTCGCACCTCGGCGGCTTTCTCTGGGAATAGTCTAGAGAGAGAGCTCGTTGGTACGATGTAAGCTCCACACCAATTCAATTGATCGAATCTCACTCCAACTTGACTGTACAGAAATCAGAATTGGAATCAAACTCAAAGACTGTCTTTTGCTGCTTGCTTTGATTTCCCCCTTCACCCGCAGCAATGGATTGCCGCAGCTTTTGCATGTACACAGAGTTGCCCACGCATATTTTTGCCAGTTGATTGAGGTCCTCTTTGGTCGTTGCCAAAAGGGAGATATCAAGATCAGACAGCAGCGTCAACGCTTTGCCAACGCTAGTTTTGCTGGATTTGAAGCATTCTCCAGTAGAAGCTAGAAGATCGCTTTGGGATACACGGGCAAAGGAGGAACCTTGACGGAAGTCATCAAATGAGAGCGGGGGAGGTTGTTGAATGTTTGCAAAGGCTTCAAACCTCTTTCGGAAGACTTTCTCGGCAGTGGTGAAGTGGAACTTTCTGGTCTCGAGAACTCCAGCTTGTTGCAGAGCTGCCATGAACTGAGGAAGAAAACAAACAGACACATTCATTAGATCCATAATACTCAGCCAAAACACGTCGACAAGACATCGGAAACACTCTGACTTACTCGGACCAAGCCACGACAAAGATTCCGCTTGCACTCCAATAGGGCAAAGTCAAATTCGTAATCAATAGTCTCCTGGCCTTTGGCTACCCCGTCGTGACCTTTCTTTTTGTTGTTCTTGTGTCTTCCGTCGTTGCCAGCTTCCTTGGTTCTCCACATTGCGGACCTGACGTTGAGCATGGTCGAGAGCAAAAAATCACGATACCAAAAGACCGTTGCGAGATCCTCTTGGCTTCTAAATAGGGCCAGTTCGACACCAATAGCGAGATGCAAGTCCATGATACTCACAAGATTAGCAAGGACGTATTGACTGACAAAGGGTGGAGATGAATTGGCAAGTCCCTTTTCTTTTCGATATCTCACATCAATGATGTGTGCCTCCTGTTGCAGCCTTGCCCAGTCTTGCAGTATAACGGCCTCCATGAATGCTCTTTGTCTGTTTCGGTTCAACAGCCGTAGCTTGAGTGTGTCGTAGATCGGTTTAGCCAATCGGTTCAAAAAAAGGCGGCCGTGTTTGGTTTCGAATAGTTCGCTGGGAACTGCCGCCGTTTCTTGCATGTGTTTGACGATCAAGTCTGACAATGAATACTGCCCCAGCAATTTGTCGTCAAAGTATAGGTTCAAGACAATGAGCGATCGGGCAAAGATGTTGATTGATGACTTGGACAGTCTGTCCAGAATTCCACGTATTCTTCGAATGCTGTTTCCCTTTAAAACGAGATGGCAGAGTGCCCAATCAACTTCTGCGACGATCTTGGAGAGTATCTCTAATGACTTGGCTGGTTCCAGGAATACGACTTTTCTGACGGGTGCGTTTCCACAAAGAGGTCTATTGACGAATGGATCAAAGGCTCGTTGCAGCAAATTGGTTTCTCTTGTTGATTTTGTTTCGATGAGTTTTTTCCATAGCGTAGCAGCATCACGGAGATTTTGCACAGCGGAGAGTACTCTGGATTTTGTTTCTAGCATTGTTTGTACAACTCTTGCTCCTGCAACTCGAGCCTGACAGTACGATACACGTAGCAGCAGCAGATAGATGATCCCAAGTGAGCAAAATTTCTGCTTTGAACAACCAACGCCCGTATGACTGATGATGGATGATGCTTACCACAGTTGAGCACAAATTGAGTAGATCGATCAAGAAATTGAGTATACATATAGCTGTCTTTTGTTCATCGGTATCAGCGGCACCCTTGCATTCTCTGACCAATAACAAGGCCAGGGACAATTCCTCCATGGTGCTTCCCTTTTCTCGATTCGAGTAGATTGGCACATTGTATGAGTTTGCGCAAAAGTCCTCTTCTTCGTAAATGTCCCCCTGCAGTACAATGCTCCTCATGATTTCGGAAATTTCCACGAGAGCCAAACTTGTGGCAAAGACGACGTGTTGAGGAGCCGTTCCAGCGCTTCCGTGCGAGTTGCGTGACTGTCCTCCGTGTAATAGACGGTCCTTCATGTCCTGACAAATATCTGCATGCGCATAGAGACACGTGTAGATACTCTCAACTACCGACGAACCTCCCAACATGGACTCGAGCCTGACCAATGCCTCTACGGCAATCAGACACGAGTCGCGCAGTGTCAATTCGTTCCATGGCAACGGTAAAAAGTCATCGTCAATTTCGGTTGGCGTTGGTCTTGGAAACAATACTTTGACTTTCCGGTCGCCATTTATTGCTGGTTTCTCTTGTTGCGGTAGAATCTGTAAAGCTGCTACTTCGCAAGAGTCCATCTTGGGGTCCAACAGTTCCATGGCTGCCATGGAGTCTTGCAGGCAAAAGCCCTCCGTGCACAGCATTGGATTTTCAAAGCTCAGCGAGTCAACACAGGAATCCACCATGGCCGTAATGTCCACGGCGTCCTTCAAATCATCGTAGCCTAAACCGTTTGGCTGCATACTAGCACTTGTAGTATCGGTAGAACTTGTAGCATTTCCTCGATCGGTATTTTGTGCACCAGTGCTGTCCTCCATCTTCTCAGTTCTACAGCTCGGGTCACGCACTGCAACTGTTGGTTGTTGGAGGGCAGTGGAAGGCGGTGTGCTACCGGTAGCCATAACCTTAATCGTCAATGACATCACTAGCTGCTGGCAGTCGCCTTTTCAGCCAGAACAACGAAACAACAACCACAACTTGACCGAAAGAGGACGAGACAATAGAGACAAGAGGTGAGGAGAGAGACACACACACAGAGCAAGATGAGCGGCGAAGACTGGCACCAAGTAACTCAACAGAACCGCCGTCAAGTAGTAGGCGGAGACCGTACCAAGCAGCCCCAAGCTTGGCCTCGGCAACAGCATGTTCCGCATTCCCACAAAGATTCTCGCCCGGGCCCTCAGAATGGATCTCACCAGCAACCACCCAATCACAGTGGCAATAAGCAATCGTGGAGACACAACAACGATACTGATCAACGAAGAAATCAGCCAATACAGCATCAACAGCCCCAGCAACATCGACGACAGCAGCCACACCCTCCAAAGGCCCGAAACGCCCCGCTGCCTCCGCAGAATGCATGGAATAATACCGGTACCGGTACCGGTACCGGTAGAGCACCCCAGAAACAGGATCCACGCTTTCATTCAGAAGCTGCTGCGCCTCCCGTACCAGCACCGGCAAATGCCAGTGCCAGTGCCATGCCAAAGGCTCAAGGCACGTGGGCAACAATGGCATCCGCCAAAAGGTCTGGTGGTCCCAATAACAATCAAAATCACAATACTAGAGGGACCAACAAGGGACCAACCTCAGCGAAAACAACGCCTCCTTCGATTGTCTCCCCCGACACGAATCAACAAAAGGGTAATAAAAACCAGAAAAGGGCTCCCCATCAAAAAGACCAAAAGAATAACAAGAAAAACAACAATGCCACTGCCAACCAAAGGCAAATCCATGGTAAAAAGCCAAAACTCGCTAGCATGAGCATGGGCGACTTGGTGCCGAAAATTACAACAATACTCCCCAAAGACAAAAACAACAAACCAAACAATAGCAACAATCATAATTCTCAACGACCAGCGACACAGAAATCATTCAGTTTGCAGGAATCCCAAGACTTTCCAGCCCTTGCAACCACCAGCAATAACTGGCCTTCACTTGGGCAGCAGGCAAGTAGACCTGTGCGGGCGGCTACTGCCAAGAAAGCTGCACAAGAATCATCACAGAATAACAACAACACCAATACTCCAAAGAAACGAAAAAATGCCTCATCACAACAAGTCACTGACACCAAGACTGGCAAAGCCAAGAAGAAAGACTCAAGTCCACTTGGCAACGGCGCCAACAACAACATGCTGGCAGGGAGACCCGACGCCAATCATTTGCAAGCACAGTTCTTGCTACCACCCGGAAAGATGCTCCTGGATCCGAAACTGGATGCCGCCCATGGGGGAGATGCCCAACAGTTGATGTTCATGATGAAGAATCAAGGGCAGATGATGAAGGGGCGACAACGAATCAAACCGCGAAAGAAACGATTCACTGCTCTAAAGCGAAAAATATTGTTGGAGCGTCTCAAGGTTTGGAAGGAATCGCAAGGCGGAGCTGCTTCTGTGGAAAGCAACGTGGAGGAGGATGGCGAATCACTTACAGTGTGTGTAGAGGGATTTGTGACGCGGGAAGAGTTGGAAGACGAAGACGAATATGAAGAGGTCTTGGCAAACTTTCAAGACATGGTGGAAAAGGTGGGAGAATTCAAACAAATCTTTATCCCTCGAGCTGAACATGACGCCCACGAGGCAGCCGAGGATTCACAGCCAGTCTTTGTTCGCTTTTCAACGTCAACTTTGGCGAGGGCTGCCAGGGACTGTTGGGACGGATTGGTTATTGGTGGTGAGCCATTGAGAGCAACTGTTGTTGCATTAATAGTCGGCGGTATCGGTGAGGATACGAAGGAGGAGGAAGTTTGGCAGGACGCATGTTTACAATCTACAAAGGGCCAATACCTGCAACCAGAAGACGGATTTGTTGCTGAAACCAATACGATTTTGGCTACTAGTACGAAGGCCGAGTTGTTGTTGCAGAACATCCTCACCGAAGACGATCTCGAGGAAGCAGAATGCCTCGAGGAATCGTTGGGCGATGTTCGTTCATTGTTGAACAAATATGGTACTGTCTCAAACTTGGACACTGAGGGCACTAGCATCTTGGCCACTTTCGATGACATGAACGAGGCAACGCTCCATGAAACTGCGAGCGAGTTGAATGGGATGTGTCTAGGCGGTCAAATCGTCACTGTCAAAGTGTTGGAACGGGAAGCGATTGAAACCAGTTGTGTAGTTTTACGCAACATCCTGACAGAGGATGACATTGAAGATGACGAATGCCTTGAAGAAAGCCTTGATGACGTTCGGGAGCTGGCTTGCAAGTACGGGACTGTGATCAACATCGATGCAGCGAAGACAGACAGCCCGAGCACCAGCACTGTGAAAGTAACATATTCAACGGCTTCGGAAGCAGAAGCTGCAGCGACGGAGTTTTCGGGTATGGTAATCGGTGGAGAAACAGTTACAGCATCTTTTGAAGATGCAAAAGGAAGCGTGGCTCTCACAAACTCCACCAATGGGGACACACAATCTGGCGAGACCGGAGTTGGAACAAACGAAGAGCAGGCTGAGTCAGGACAGCCAAAGCCAATGTTTTCTGGTGACAAGCGCATACCAGAGCGGTTTGCCGAGTGCAAACGAGCTCCCAAGGTGCCAAATAAAGGGACACCAAGGAGTTATGCTGTGCTGATTGATGATGACACTGTGAAACCCCTTCTGGTCGAAATGCTGAACGAGTTGATGCGGTTACAGATGCGAGCATTGAATGACAAGAACGCAAAAGCCAGACGTCGAGTTGTTGTCGGGCTCAGAGAATGTCACCGGTGTCTTCGAGCGAACAAAGCGAAAATGATAATCATGGCAAACAACCTTGACGATTATGGGGCAATCGACGACAAGCTGCAAGAGATTCTTGATTTAGCGGCGGAAAAGGAGATACCTGTGCTGTTTGAACTGAGCAAGCGAGTGCTGGGGAAGGCCGTGGGGAAGAAGATCAAGGTGTCTGTCGTTGCCATTCAGGGGACCGACGGTGCTCATCAACAGTTTGTGAAGTTGTCAAAACTTGCTCACAAAACCCCCAAGACCGGAGGCCAAGGAGGGAGTTGAAATACTGACCTTTCATCGAAGGCGAAACTAGCTTTTGAGCCTCTGTCTTACTGGTACCAGTACGCGTTCACTTCGTAGTGTCTTGTTTTAAATTAGGGCTAGCTCTAGGTTTCTATACACGAGGAACGAATTCTCGATTTTTCACTTGTTGTGAAGAATCACCCCTTCGTTCGTACCCTCCAATAGTGTTTTTCGCCGTAAGCAGGCTTTTGGAATTTCCCGTCTCCGATACCATACTAGTACGGTACTGGGTCTGCATGGTTTGCGTGTACCAACCAGCAGTGTGGACGCGCTATGAAGCTAATCTTCCGGCATTCGCTTTTGCTGGAGAATCTTCAATACTTTGTTCGAACGAGAGCGCTCAAAATGCTCTCGCACGACTTCCCACATGTTGTGTTGCCCTTCGTCGTCCAATAGAAGTGAACGCCAGCATTGTTCGCTTGTCTCATCCTCTGGAAGCGGGCGACAAGAAGAATACTTGTTCAGAATGTGCGGGAGAGTGCTGTGTAGCGCGGAGGGAAATGGAGAGGGCGCAATCAACCACGGCATTGTATAAGATTGTGCAAGAGCGAGAGGAAAAGTTTCAAGATAGACATACGCACCGATTGGGACAGATTTTTTGTCCTCGGGAAAGTGCACAGAAAATGGGAAGGCGATTCTAATCCAAAAATTGAAAAATTGCAAGCGAAGACAAGTCAGTGGTTGCAAACAGGAAAACTAGGAACGCGGTAGCAAGCGGTCTCACCTTCTCGGACGGGGTTTGCCAAGCATTCGGGCGAGAAACGAAGGATTCCCAAATCTTCGCTGAGGGTCGGTCGAAGGACGCCGCCGGTTTCGTCACGTTCGATGGGTTAGGCATGCTGTTGGGGTCTTTGTAGTAAAGTTCGTCTACGGGAGGCACGCAGGTTTCCTCATCGACATGATGACGGCCTTCATTGATCGGCCATGCCCAGCGCTTCCAGTGTTCCATGTGAGCAACGATGAGCTTGAGCAGCTCTGAAAGCTGTCGATCCAAGGCCAGGAGATTCGCGTTGCCACCAAGCAGTGTGTAAGAAATCTGATGCGCCTGAAGTACCGCAAGGCGATGCTGGAGGATTTTGGTTGTCAATGCAGAAGCATCGCAATCGTGAGGGCGAATCATGACAAAGCAATCCATGTCGTCAAAGATAGACGATGAGGGGGATTTGTTGTCTCCACCTCCTCGTTTCCATCGGAACCGCTTAGCTTGCTGAGGGGTGCACAACGTAACATCTTTGTCCAAGATGTTGAACCAGAGAGCGACATCGCGGACCGAGGGATCGCAATCAGGGCCTACACGAGGAAAGGACGTGAACCAACAAAATCACGTATTAGCCAAGGCAATTGAGAGAGTAAAAGCACGATGCTTTCCGTCGTCTGAACAGGCACATACCAAAGGCAATCTCTCGTACGAGAACGTGGCTCGGGGATAGAGGTATAAAGGATTCTTCCTGAATCTCAAGGGCCTGTCCCGTTTCAGTCAACCGAAAGAATCGTTTCTGAAGCTCCATGCACAGCTCTCCGTGAATCATGTGCTGCGGACGAAACTTGTAGTTCCATTCCGGAGTGCCTTGCATCTGCAAAGCGATAGATACCTTGTGCATGTCCAAGACCTCACACGGGCGCCCCTTTTGTTTTCCAGAGATGTTGCAAACCAGTTTATAGAGAACGGCTGGGTCATTATCATAGGAAAACTTGGAGCCAAATGGGCTATCGTGCAGCAAGCTGTAGAGTCTGCGTAGAGGCAGAACCGGGCGGGAGTTGGTCAGACCCGAAAAGCAAGGAAATGAGGTTTGTAGACAGCCCAGGAATGTCGAACCCGACGTACCGTTTCTGATGCTTGCACTCTACGTTGATATCAGTGGGGATAGTGTTCCCCTGGGTCTCCGTGACAGGCAACCAACTGATGACAGCCGTACCGGCTGAAACCCGCTTGTCATGAAGGCTGGAACACCGTGTTCCAAAAGGGCTTGAGCAGGAATGAATGCAGGTGGAACAATAGGCGGTCGATTGAAGTGTGAATGAAACAAAAAAAGAGAACCACGATCGAACGATCGGATCGAATCGTCGCTTTGATTAGTTGACAATGACAAAAAGATCGCTGGATCCCGCCGAGATTTAGTTGCCTTACCATGATCCAGCACTAACAAACAGGAAGCAAGGCTTGGTGCGATATGTATCAACACTGTCAATCCACCCCGCTCGTTGGAGGTCGAGTAGTTTGGTCATCTTGAGTTCATCCTCACTGTGCGCAAAGGTACACTGAGCACCGAACGGGCACTTGGCACCTTGCTTGACGTGCATGCACAGCTCCGTCTTGACTCGAGACTTGCGAGATAAGTCATCCGACTGATGATTAGCTGACTTGGCCTTTTTGGATTGCGGCTGTTGCTGTTGCTGCTCGGGGCTCTTTCGTTGCGGGATCGCCTTCTTGATGGACTTCTTGGGTGGTGGAATAGGACTTGGGCGAATCGTCGTTGATAGCACATGGTGGCTAGTAACTCCGTCAAACATTTGAGGGGAAAGGCGACGGCTTGAGCTTGAGATGGAAGAGAAAGAAGAATCCAGCGTACTGCTCGAGTTGCTCCAAGCTCCGAAGCTGTTGTCACTCATCGGTTCAGTGGCTTCGGTCAATGCCGGCGAAGGTGTTGTCTTCCGATAAGCAAACGGCGATGGAGAGCTAACCGAGAGACCACAGTTCCCAAGAGAGCTGGAGATCTTCCTCATTCCATTGAAGCTGGGAACATGCGTAAAGATACTGGAGGGTGGCGTCGGTCGCGCCGCGGCGGTGCATTGCTTTTGTACCGTTGGAACCGACAACAGTGGACGAAGATACCCAACAGCATCGACAAGATGGCCATGGTGGCTATCAGGAAACCCAAGACGGGCTTCGCGGTGTCGAATGCTGCTGGTAGTGGACCGGTTGCCAGAAGACATTGTTGGGGATGCAAAATAAATGTTGACATCCAAAAAGTGAGAGGACAACCATCATCAATTCGAGCGTCTTGCGGGTTGCGGGGGCTTACAATAGCGGTTCGGGGTCTGATCAATGGGGGGGTTCGCTGTAAAATTGTCTTTCTGGCATTGAGGTAAATAGTAGGGCAAGATACAAGCCAGCTCTACTAGCTAGCTACCAGGTACGGCTGTACATGCACACCAGCAACAACAGAGTTAGCAGCAGCAACAAGATGGCGATTCTTTGTGTTGGAGATGGTGCAAAGCCAACAAGTTCAACAGCGACAGTGTTGGGTAGTGGCGATGAAAGTGGAAAGCCGAGAAGAGAGACAAGATCCGGCTCCAATGCTGAGAATATTCCGGCAGCAAAGAAAACAAAGGTACCTTCTCTTTCCATTTCTACTCAAACACTGTTCCGTGACTTGGCTGCTGGATGGATTGAGAAGGAGATGAAATGGTACGCCGCCAAAGCCGGCTACAACCCATTGACAACAAAGGAGAAGAAAAGGTGGCTAACGCCCATTTGAAGAGAGCATGTAAGGAGTACCAGGAACGCTTCGCTTTCTGCACGGAGAAGGTGTGAGAAAGATTATAAACACAAATTTGGTACCCTCTAATGCGGGGAGCTCTTTTTCAATAATCCCACATGGTACTAGCATGCGAACTTTCAATCCGCAAGTGGGTTCGAACCACAAAGAACTCACTCACGTACACTTCTTCTGCACATTATTGTGGCTACGCCACTTCCCGTAAAGAGTTTGATGCCTTCTCATACCCAACGCTACACACTTTCAAAGGAACAATCACACACTCTACGCACTTCTTCACCCTAACGATTGGCGGGGATGTGAGAAAGATTATAAACACAAATTTGGTACCCCCTAATGCGGTGAGCTCTTTTTCAATAATCCCACAAGAAGGAAGATGCAGATTCCCATTGCTTTTCAGGAGCCCCCCCACCTGTTGGTCGCTATCAATGTGGAGTCAACATGGAAAACACCCGATGCATTCCCACGATTCTGCTTCGCGCTTTTCCCCATGCAACAAGACGTGTCGGCTTTTTTCATCACCTTGATGCCTGGACCTATTCACGGGTCAACTGATGGTGAATTTTCTGACATGATTAGTGAGTACCAGAGGCAAAACAATTTGGTTGCATTCGTTGACAAGTGCCACAGTGGAGGTGGCACCTACCAACCAGACATTTCGATGGCACCAATGTATCCAGACCCAAATCCATAACCTGGAATTGCTGACAGGGACACCGATAGAGGCGGTCCACAATGCCGCACGGTTGTGGAGTTCGAGTTTGGCAATCGGAACGCTGATGCCATTCGGGAAGTTGGGCATGTTGTTCTCAGTCATCACTATGGAAGCTTGTTTATTGGGATAAAAGTCTGGAAGAACGAGAGTGCTGGAGCTCGAAATGCAGGCTGTTTTGGAGCTGCCTTGGTTGTCTGGGAGAAGAACCATACTACTGGAGTTAGGGCCGTTCGCCATGCATTTGATTTTAGCACAAAGCCACTTTCAACTCAAACAAAGAATGCTTGGAACAAGGCACCAACACCGCTTCTTATGCTTCCACAGGTTCCAGTAGCCACCTGGGTTCGTCCTCCGCTGGTGCCGGCTCAAACCGTGGCTACAACTGGCCAGGCCCAGCTGGGAACTCCTCCTGGTTGGTCATTGGATCTTCCTGCGAGTGCAATTTTCTACCGCATGCCAGCCCCTGGTACAACTGCATCGCCTGTTGCAGCCACCGCCGCCCCAGGACCGGCAGGACCTACTGCTGGCGCAGGGCCTGGGGTAGGGGGGGCACCAGCACCACCATACCTTACAGCATTCAACATCCCAGATTTTCATGTCAATCTGAAGCAGTATCAAGGATAGATTAATGTATTCTTGGATAAAAATCCCTGGACTAGTACTGTTTGACCTTGTGGAACTACTCTTGTAACATCAATCAAACGAGCATTAGAGCGGTAGCCCGGCAGAGTTCAGTCCCTGTTCTCACAAGTCACGGAAGCTACTGTACACCAGTCATCAATCAACTGTACAATCAAACGTGTTTCTCAGTCCCTGTTCCGAATCACGAATCGAATTGATATTGCACGATTCAGATTCTGAGAACCCAAAGGGGGGACCGAGGTGAGAGATAAACCATTATTACAGCACCTCGGCCCCCCGTCCCCTACTGTTTTTATATAGTAAAGTAGTTGCGAGGGACCGACATTAATCTATGATTTCCCTCTTAGACTAAAAGAATTAACGTCGGTCTCCAGTCGACTCCCACTTTCTTTCTGAAGCCTCGCGGCAACTGAGCACCCAAACGAAAGCCTCGCGGCAATTGAGCAATACCAAACTAAAAGCCACGCGGTGGTTGAGTGATCCATACTAGGGACGGGGGCGATACCAAACTTAGCCACGCGGTGATTGAGCACATCATAGTCAGTAACTTCATGTGTAATTTCATGTGTAACTTCATACGTAATTTCATACGTAACCTCATACGTAACTTAATACGTAACTTCATACCATCAGTAACTTCATACGTAACTTCATACGTTCAGTAACTCAATAACTAAAAGTATATTCATAATATCTAATTTTTTGTCAAATACACCTGATTAAATTAAAAATACACCTCAATTTAACCTAGATGGAAGAGGACTTCGAAAGAAATCATGTAACCTTAAATTAACGTCTAACGTCAACCACGAGGAAAACATTTGGCCCAAACGTGAAACTTCATCCCTCCCAACCCATCGTTTCACTTCCCCACTTACCATAATCTCACCTTTGACCCCCAATAATGGACCAGAAAGACTTTCCTAGCTTCAAGGCAACATAAGGGTCCTTCACCATCCCATCCTTCAATCTCGCAAGGATTGAACGCCTTTCAAATCTCCCATCAGACAAGGTTGTCTACATCATCTTTGCAGTTCTGGACGATGAAACTGGCAACCGCTACCTTCAAGGATTCATCAAGATGTCCCGCCGCTACCGCGACACAGCTCTAGTGCCGACAGTGTAGCCAACATATTGACAGAAATCCGGGTAAACGTGAAGTGGGAATTCGGTGATGCCCACAGAGCAAACCTTCAAGGCAAACGAAGCGACCTAATTGCATTAAAAAACGCCGACATTGGAACTTTCACAATAGATCAACTGAAAACCCTACGTCCTAAAGTCTGTGTAAAATACATAGACCTCCTACTAAAATACTTCAAGGCAACCCAGAAGAACCCAAAAATTGACAAAGAAACACAAGAAATGAAAATCAGCCCGAGCCCTTAAGAAGGCAAACCTATTTGAAAATGAAAGCCAAGGACCTCCCTAAATTCTACTGATATTGTCGCACAGGTAGGAAGAACTTCCGCAAGCAACATGCCAAAAATAGAGGCGACAAGAGCAACTATTAATTTAAAATTTAAATCCAAACGTTACTCTAAACGTCATCTCTACCAATAAGAATCACATTTGCACCATCCTTTTCCTCATACTCAAGGATACTATATCCGTAGTTCGGAATGAAATACCTCTTGCACTCTCACTAACAACTATACCTATCCCGTTATTCCAATCGATGTCACTGCAACCCGCTGCATGATGCCCAGTGCAAGACACGGCTCTTAGCCTTATTCGCGACTCGATCCTAGATAGGGTTTGAGTTCGACTCGTGACGTGGTCCCTCGCGAATCGTCATCGAGACATGGTTCTCATGACTGCTAGTCATACTAGGTTGTCGATGAAACATCGCGCTAGATATTCAGCCTGCGTGGAAAGCTTTCACGCTACTGGACAGCTACTAGCTGAAGTTTCCACGTGTTCCAGAATTGGACCGTGGAGTACGTAGAGTTATTACCATAACCTACGATATCACACTTCGAGGCCTCCCGCGGGAGACCAACTTCAATGAGCTTCACAACGATCTCTCTCATGGATTAGTTTTCGTAGCTTTCTAATCTCTCTCATAACTTTCATTCTCTCAAACTCAAAACACTCGAAAGCTCTTTACACCAGCTTTTAGCGCAGTGCATTTTGTTAACAAACACAATAGCTTTCAGCTACCCTCAACCTATTCCTTCACCATGAAGATTGCTCAAGGAAAGCATGCGTTCAGCAACTTCGAGAAACAGTTGCGTGACAAACCCATTCTTCCTCTCGTCGACAATGACGAAGACAACGAGATCGATGATTCTCGTGCCACCACCTACAAACTTCGCACTATTCCTGCAGATGCAAACAGTGCCAAGTACACCTTCAAGGTAGCCATCATCAATGGCTCCAACACTCCACGTGAGACCATCAAGTGGGCCACGAATATGGAGAAGGTCTTCGTTGGACTCAACCTTGCTGGTGCCGACGACAAACATCGTCTTCTCAAGGAGATGACTTCCAGCTCTGCAAAGAGTGCCTACGAGGCTGGATGTGCAGGCAGTCGTGCCGTGCGTCACAACGCCCTTGAAAGCGTTACAGTTCCTCCCACGACTCAGAGTATCCGTGAATAGATTGGGTCATGTTTTATGAGTCAACACGATGGAACAGAGAACGCTGGCAAGAACACGTTCTCAACGAAACCAAAGGACACGGTAAATTGGAGTATTCGACAGGAGTAAAGCATCCTGCCAACGAACCGTTTCCCGCAAATACCACGTTGACTTCCGTATCAACTACCACGATGTATTGATCTAACACGCTACAACTAGCGTTACTGATCGCATCAATCAAAGCTCACAACACAGATTATGAATTACTAAGAAGCGAACTTTGCATTTCCTTGCACTCGTCTTGAATAGTTGCAGTTGATCTCGTCGGGCGGTAGCTACCTCTACAAGATCCCTCTATTCAAGTAGTATTTCCTCACGTTAGCAGATTAACTAGTCGCAGTTACGCACTGCCACACCTTCATCAAGATGGCCGATGAAGCAACCAAGCTCAAGCATGTCCTATGCACCCTATGCGGCGAAGATGCTACCACCACAGGGTACATGCATCTCACATGCGCATCGCA